TATATCTCCAATGATCAAGGGATAATTTTCGCACCATATCTCTAGAAATCTCGAATCCCATTAAAGATCAAGTTATCAAGAACAATATATCTACACAATCACTAAAACGTATCTATAGGATATCATATAATTATTATTTTCAAACCTAGAGATAAGATCAATCACTTATATATAAGGGAATCAAATATCATTTTAACCCTAATTTTACACTTATCCTAGACGTTTCTCTAACTTGTGCATTGAAGTGTCTTTACAGGTGTCCCTCCTTACCATTAACAAATGGAGTGTGGAAAATGTCAACTTTCTTAGAGCACCTAGAGATTCTGGTAAGAACACTAATTCTTTTGATCATAAGTATGACTAATATAATTGATAAAACTCTCACTTTTACTATTATATATATTATATATATATATATACATTATAAAGAAGATAGAATTTAATAATCACCTCATTAGTTTCTATTTTTAATTAGACTTATTTACTCTAAATGTATACTACTCACTCTTTGTAATGAAAAAAAGCCCAATACAAATATTTACTTTAAAATCTTAATATTTATTTTTTACAATTACTTTCTTTTAAAACATGTCAAGAATAAATATATAAAGTAACTCTTTCTCCACTAGGATTTATATCAATAATATTGATTTTTTTATTGTATATAATATACAATTATATATTGTAATAAATATTATATAAAAAGAATAAAAAATTGTAATTCGTAAAAGAATAGTTTCTACGCACTACTATTAATACTACTAGTAGAGAAGAAACACTACATGTCTTTGTTATTTTAAAAAGATAAAAAAAATGAAACAATAGAATAAGTAGTTAATTAGAGATTTATAGAAAAACATAAAAAGAAACATAAAAAGTGACCACTTTACGATAGTGAATTAATGATTGAGGGTGATTTAGAAGTTTAGTAGTTATTAAAAGGATAAAATTGTCTAAAAAATTATGTATGAAAAAGAGACTATCACTTTTATATATTGTTGTAAATTATCAATGTTGTTGTAATTATTATTATTATTATTATTAAACAAAAAATATATATTATTATAATTTATAAAGAATTGATTATATTGTTATATAATATTAATTTCTTATTTACTAAATATATTTATATTTAATTTTAATAATATTATTAAATTTAAAATTTTAATTAAATGTGATAAGTCTATTGTTTATTAAATGTATAGATTATCACATTCATTTTGTATACATTTCAAGCATGCTATGAGACATGGGGGGTTGATCTAGTTAGTAAAACTCATATAACGTGAATGTAAATTAATTCTTAATGGTAAGTTTTGAAATATTATTTTTTCTGAGAGAAAAGTTTTGAAATATTATATTTGACATATCTATGGACTGAAAAAAAGACATTAAAGGCATCCTTTAAAAGATAATCTTACTCCACATCCAAGATGCTAAAATTTTCTCTTTAAACATTTAAAAATTTGTAAATTTTCAAGACTTAAATATTTATTTAATATAATATACAATTAATTGAAATACATGAACACACACAATTTTTATTCTATAATATTAATTCTATTAAAAAATTAAATATTAATTATTATACTTATTAAATATATTTTACATTTGACATTAATAATATTATTTAAGTTGAATATTAATTAAATGTAATAAATATAATACTTGTTTATTTACGCCCACATTTACATTAAACTTAATTTTTTCTTAATACTTTTTTTTATAAAAAATTAAATTATAAATATTATAAAATAAAAATGCATTTCAAACACGCACATATTTCATATCATGAAAACACACGCACGCGCACACGCACACACACACACACACACACATATATATATATATATATATATATATATATGGGATGACAATGAGGTTTCATAGGGCGAGTAATAGTAAATTCATCCCCGCCCAGCTAGATGAAAATTGACCTCATATTCACCCCATATTTTGTGCAGGTATCCATGAACTTCTTGAATACCCACAAATATCCATGAATATTTATAAATTTTTTAAGAAATTAAAAAAATTATATTACAAATAATTTTATATTTAATGTCATTGAAATATTAAAAATAAAATTTTAATGTTAATTTTGAACTTGTATTTAACGTTAATTTTGTTGAAATAATAATAAAAATGCAAGATAATCATTAACTTAAAATACATCAATCTCACAAGTAAGTGAAAGTCTCATATCACAAAGATGAGAGAGTGTAGTTTTAGGGTTATGTGGTACAAGAATAATTAGGAAGAAAGATTATTAAACGAGTATCTGCAGGTATGGATATCATCATACCCGCCCCCGCCCTGTTTATAAACGGGTAAAAAATTATCCGTCCTCATTATCTGCGGGTACCCAATTAGCCTATCCATTTATTATCCGTAACGGATTTTACCCGCAAAAAAGAATAAAATATATATATATATATATATATATATATAGAATTTTTATTCGATAATATTAGTCAAAGAAATTTTATAATATTAATTATTGTATTTAATAAATGTAATTTACATTTGACTTTAATAACATTAATTAAATTAAATATTAATTAAATGCAATAAACATAAAACTTGTTTATTTACACACATTTACATTTAACTTTATCATGAAAACACACACTCACCCTCCCTCTCTCTCATGTATATATATATATATATATATGTATGTACGAGAATTTATATGTTTACTCTCGGAGTTAGTCTACCTACACTTATTCTGTTTAATAATTCGTGTTCTATATCAAATGTCAACGATTTAACTATTAAATTTAAAATTCTTAACGTATAGATCAATTCTGTAAATTTTTAAAATACTTGAAAACTATTTGATACTTCGTTTCATTAATTCAAAGTGACGTATAAAATATTTGTATGATTATCCATCAATTTGAATTAATGAAATGAATAAGTATCAAATAGTTTTCAAATTTTTTAAAAATTTGCATTAAAAATTTTAAATTTAACGGTTGGATCATTGAGATTTGATGCAGTGCATGAGTTATTGAACGGAGTAAATATAGGTAGACTTACTCTTAAAAAAATGGATTCCTCCTCTCTCTCTCTCTATATATATATATATAATTTTATCTATAACATTAATTCAGTCAAAGAAATTCTATAATATTAATTTATGCATTTATTAAATATAATTTACATTTGAATTTTATAATATTATTTAAACACACATCCGTAATTATTATTTTACAATATGATATGCTAAAATACCACTAGAACCAAAAGTTAAAAAAAAAATTGTGCTATAATAATAAAATTATTTATTTTAAAAGATAAAGTAAACACTTATAAACAATTAAACTAATAAAATTCTTTATTAATTAAAAAAATTAAAAGCCTCTCAAATGGTAGTTGTTATAAATAAATTATTAAGATTCTTATTTTATTTTAAATGGGACCAGTCATGCCACATCATTTTTAAACAACTCATTATATTTTTACAAGTTTTGCTCTATGGTGGAATCTTATAAGCAACCCTACATTTTTATAATTTTTTTCATTAACACTTTACTTTTTGACAACTTAAAAAATTAATGTAATTATTATAATCTAATATTAATTTAATTAAACATAATAAATAATATTTTAATTTATAAAAAATTTATAATAAAATTTATAAAATTAATTTAATGCATATAAAATATTAAATATTAAAAGCAAAAAGTATTTAATGATGATGGATAATTAGCTTTTGATTTTGATTTGTAGGTGATAAATGGTTGATGTGCATGACTATTCCTTTGATTTGTGAAAGTAATTTGTGTTTCCTGTCATTGAAAGAATCAAGACATAAAATATTATTTTTTTAATTCATTAGTAACATTGTAATTTCGTGTGTCATGTTATCACTCTATTAAGAGTAGCTAATAAACATCGTTACTTATGAGTAAAATATATCACAAAGTTACTATTAGAAAAGTGCCATTTTCTTGCAAAAAAAATATTTGTAAAAATTTTTTGTAAATTTTTCTGTAAAAAAATATTCGCAGAATTTTTTTGCAAATTTTCCTGCAAAAAAATATTCACAGAATTTTTTTGCGAATTTATTTGCAAAAAATAATTTATAGATATTTTTTACAAATTTTGCTGCAATTTTAATAATCATAGAATTTTTTTTTTCATGATAAAAATTTGCAGAAAATATTATAAATTTTATTTTGTTTCTTGCAAATTTTCTTGCAAAAATAAATTCGCAAGTAATGTTTACTAAATAGTAGAAAAATTTTGCAGGTAACTTTTCCTGCGGATTTTCCTGCAAATTTTAATCTACAGGAAAAAAAATATTTAAATTTATAAATTTAATATTTTAAAAAAATTCAAGTCTCACATCGATTGAAAATAAAACAATTAAAGAGTATATAAGTTGGGGCGACACTTACCTTACAAGTTGATTTGTATGGTTGAGTGTTAGGCTTATAATCTACAATCTTAGAATTTAAAAAATTATGTATCACATATTGGAGGCATGGAAACAAATGTTTCAGATGAATTCATTGTAAGCATTTGAATTATAAATAGAATTTATAATAATTTCTCTAATTTTTTCATAAAAAATATTCCTGTAGAATTTCTTGTGAAAAAATTCGCAAGAAACTTTCCTGCGAATTTTTTTTTGTAGGAAACTTTCCTGCAAATTTTTTTCACAAGAAATTTCGCAGGAAAATTTCCTACGAATTTTAAAATTCGTAAAAATATATTATCCACGAAAGTATTACTTGCAGATAAAATTTCGCAAAAAAATTTGTAAGAACAACGTTTCCTACGAATTTTTATGAAAAATTCGCAGAAAAAGTCGCATGTAATAAAAGAAATTCTAGTAATGAATACTCTCCATTGAAGACATTCTAATAAAATTCTTTTACATAGAAATTAACAAGAATTCATTTATTATATTTCTTTAATGCAATTGAACCACATCTTTATAAATAAGAGGGAGTAGCAATGGTCACTTGCATATCAAAGAGAATATATTTCATCTGTTGACTTTCATCTTCTTCAAAAGATACATTCCCTCTGTTGTCTTTGATCAATCAGGTGATCAATTGCTTCCGGTCTCTTTCAATTTTTTTTTTCTTTTTCAATTTATTCATCACATAACAAGAAATCATGTACTTTCCCATTTTATTAGTGTTTTTTTTATACTTTAAAAGAAATTTGTTGCTAGATTTATTAGAAGTTGTGACTATCCGCACAAAAATTAGAAAATTTTGGCTTCCCATTTGTGTTTTTATCACTTAAGTATTGTAATTGTATAATTTTAATCCAAGGTTTTAATTGAGTAATTTTAATCCTTAAAAGATTGTAATTGTGTGATTTTAGTCCCTCAATTTTTAATTAAACAATTTTAGTCTCTTATATATCATAATTGTTCAATTTTAATCTTTCTCATTAAAAATTTAATAATTTTAAAATTTAATATATATATATATATATATATTTATTATTACTAAATAAATAAAATTTATATATTATTAATATTTTAATATTACTGATAAATTAATATCAATAATATTTTTA